AGCTGCACATCTTAAGGAAAAGGGATTTAACTGTGAATCTACCATCTGCATTCCACTTCCAAGTCCATTCATCTTCCATACTCATATCAATTCTCTGGTTTTGAATCTGCCCCAACAGACCTACATACTCCTCCACTTCCCAGTCTAGCAAATTCCTCCTACATAGGGGGGTCCAAGAGAAGGAGCCCCCAGCGGTACTAATGTTATCAACAACTGAAGAATCTTGATTCACTGCAATTTGAAACAGCCGGGGAAAAGCATCAGCCAAGGGGCCTTCCTCACACCAAGAATCCTTCCAAAACTTGATTCTATCCCCTTTTCCAACTTTAAACTTGACCCCGTTCATGAAAAGAGTATTGATCTTAGAAATACCAGCCCAGAGAGAACTACCCCCAAATGATAGGGGATCGAGAGTTTTCCAATTTCCCCAATCCACACCATACTTATCCGCAATGAGGCCCCTCCACCAAGCATTTCTCTCATAAGCAAATCTCCATATCCATTTGCTAAGAAGAGCAGCATTGAAATCTTTTACTTTCCTAACTCTCAAGCCACCCTTCTCCTTAGGCTTACACACTTGCTCCCACTTAACAATGTGAATTTTCTTCTCATCCTCCCATCCCCTCCATAAGAAGTTCCTTCGAAGCTGTTCCAACCTCTTTGCAAATTTATTTGGAATTGGAAAGAGGGAAAGAAAGTGTGTTGGGAGATTGGACAGGGAGCTATTAATCAATGTAACCCTACCACCAAAAGATAAATATTTAGCCTTCCAAAGAACCAACCTCTTCTCCATTCTCTCAATGATTGGACTCCAAATTGAAGAAGAGGAACATTTTGCCCCAAGAGGCAAACCCAAATACTTAACCAGAAGGAGCTCCATTTGGCAAGCCATTATCTGTACACAATCTTCCAAATTTACCACTTGACCCACTGGGATGATCTTACTTTTGTTCAAATTGACTTTGAGACCCGTAACCACTTCAAACCAACTCAGAATTCCAAGTATTGTTTCCAACTGAGGCAGAGATGCGTCCACAAAACAGAGGGTATCATCAGCGGCAAACTGAAGAATATTACCTGTCTCTTTACCTGGAGAGATAGCAAACCCATTCCATAATCCCGATTCTGCAGCCTTCTTACTAAAAAGAGTGAGGATTTCCATCACACAAATGAACAACAAGGGTGACAGAGGATCTCCCTGTCTCGGCCCCTAGAACTACCAAAGAAACCCGTGGGCTGCCCATTAATGAGGATTGAAAATTTAGAGGTCTTAGTACAAACACTAACCCAGTTTCTCCATTTCTGTCCAAAATTCATGCAGTCCAACACCCTATCCAAACAATTCCAATTGACATTGTCATAAGCCTTCTCAATGTCAAGCTTACAAACAACTCCCGGAATACCATGTCTTCTCCTTGAGTCAATTAACTCATTAGCAACTAAAACTGAGTCTACCATCTGTTCGCCTGAAATAAATGCACTCTGATTATTTGAAATAACATTACCTATCACCCCTTTCATTCTTTATGCCAAGACTTTCGCCAAGATTTTATAGAAACTGTGAAGTAAGCTAATAGGCCTAAACTCCTTAATATTCACAGCCCCCTCAATTTTTGGAATAAGGGAGATAAAAGTGGCATTTAGACTTCTTTGTAGGGACGCATTTGCATGAAACTCCTGGAACACCTTCATCACATCTTCTTTCACAAAGTCCTAGCACTTCAGATAGAACAGATTGGTAAAACCATCCAGCCCAGGTGATTTATCACCTTCAAGCTTCTTAATTGCTGCACTGACTTCCTCTTCTGTAAAAGGCATTTCAAGCCAACTCTTCTGGGCATAAACTCCTTAATAGGGTCCATACTATTTTGATCATTATTACTGATAAAAAAGACAGCAACATAGAAAGGATTTCATGATATAGTCTTCCAATGTGAAGTGCCAGCCCAGTTTTGTTTCATGATATTGTTGGTTGAACACTTCTTTTTCTTTTTTTACTTGATTAATTCACTAAACATGATATCATCTTATGAGCAATTCAATCTACTCCAAAAATTAGCAAATATTGTAAGATGAAAATTGCAAATGCAAGACTCCAAGGGGAGGTTGAGAGGAAGATATGCTGACTCAAACAGAAGGCATTGACCTTCACAACTTGATTGTCAATAGCAATATTTTCTTGCTTGTCCAAAAGACCATAGAAGAGCAGCCAAGAAATATAAGTGATGGAGGGATGGAAATCCAAATAAATAATCATTATAAGCACCAACAATGACTGGAAATGCTAATGGACACTATAGGCCATGCAAATTAGAAATAAATAATGTACTATAATCTCGTGATTAGCAACTAGATAAGACTGTGATTGGAGATCATGAATTGCCAAGCAATATAAGTTTATCCAGCTTAGTGATCATCAGGTAAATACAGCTTTCAGGGGAGCTGTTCTTCATACTCCATTCCAGATGCTATTCCTTTATTTCTCCAAAATGTGCAAAACTAATTCCAAATAGTAGCGGAAGTGTATAGTGCAGAAGGTGATAAACCTTCAGAAAATCAACTATGTTAAAATATTAAATTCCATTTTTACACGCGACAGCGTGATTCTTGGGAAGGAAAAGGAAAAAAGATTTTCCAAGAGTCGAGTGAAACAATTAAAACATTAAAAAAAGGCAAGTACCATAGTTCAACTACCAAGCAATCCACTATAGCAGAACCTCGGCCAAACGCAATCAAAGCAACAGAAAGTTAAGAAGATACCTGGAAAAAAGCATCCCACACCATGTCGACGGGAAGCCGGTTCCGAGCTATAAACAGAAACGCAATCTTAGGCTTGGGAAAGGATGGAGGAGGCAACGACATAAGCATCTTAATTCGACCATAATGGGTCTGCATCAATACTAAACTTCCAAAACAAAAGCTCATCAAAAGCACAACGAAGAGTTTTGCCTTCCATCGGCTGTAGGATTTATGCTGACTGCCCCTATGCTTCATCCCTTGTTAATTCAGCGTGTGCACTCGATCATTTCGAACAAAATCTCGTCTGAGGCCAAAGCTCAACTACCTCCGGAATCCGTAATTCTCACTTGTACAGGTATATTTTCTTTGAAAGAAAACAAGATTCAACCAAAACGCGAGACCATATACAAATGCGAGCGCCATTTTTCAGTTTCGTTGGAAACATCAAGAAATCAAGGTTGAACTAAACTGACCATCGGGTCAAGGAGCAAAACATACGACATATTGCAGATCTAGATCATCAATAAGCAACCGGAACCGAGTTGAGTTAAGAAATAACCTAACTTTGACCGGATAAAAGCCAGAAATCCGTGATTTGTTTCACGGATTCCAGCTGAAATCACATCAATAACGAGATGAAGTAATCGATTCAAGAATAATAAGCTTGTGAAACAATCCAATTTTCTGAAACTTTGTGTTTCACTGGCTCTCCGTGAGACTCTGGAACTAACTTGACTTCACATGAAGGGTGTCCAACTGAAACTGACTTGAGTCTCAACTAGTCTCAATTCTGCTTGAAACGAGGAGCGGTGATCAACCCTTATATATAGCATAGGTTCAACGGATCGAATAGTAAAAAAAAGACCCTCACTTATTACAGAAATAACGGAAATACCATTTCCTTTCCAAGTTGGTCACCAACACTGGACCCAGTGTCCCACCTTAGAAATCAATCGCCTCATCGCCTGAGCCTAAACCATGTGCCTTCCTTGTTCTGGCCTGCAGCCCTGGACCCATTCTTCTAGTCCTGATCCAACAGCGAAAGCTCAGAGAACGTGCTCTCTCTCTCTCTCAGGCTTGAGGGTCACTGTTCTAGAAAAGCAAAAGTATGATTCATTGCAGTTGTAGAGCCAGGCTTTAGAAGTTGGAACCTGATACCTTTGAAGAGACCCTAGCTCTCGGGCAGAGCCAGAGCTCTCTGCCATGAAATGAGTCGTAAAGCTTGACCAAGCTAGACAACTGGGCAAAGCTCTTCTCATAGCAAACCCCTTAAATTGAACCTTGATCTGATTACTAAAAAAACAGATTGAACCACAGCTGAATGATTTGTCAATTGCGAATATAACAGCCTAACGTACTTAACAACTGTGGTGGTTACTTGTCACAGACTCATCATGATTTGTTACAAGGGGAAAGAAATTTTCTTTCTCTGGGACTTATATATATTTACCAACTAGTTGACTTTTTTGAGGAAAGCAAACCAATGTGGTGGGTTTTTTTTGGTAGAAACTAGCAAGATAAAGTGCATTAAAACAAGTAGCAAGAATACAAAACAATGTCTAATTAAGTCTTGGTTGGCCATATCTTGGACCCACCTAGGTGGATCATGGACGAACAACCCAGACTCTTCTACATCTTTTCTAGTTAGTTTACGTGCAACAATATTACAAGATCTATTTACATAATTAAAAGAGATGGCTAAGTCTTCAGTTAGTAATTTGATATTCATGCAGAGAAAGTTTACATCCAAAGCCAAATCCAAGTTTCATGTCTTCAAAGCCTGCACCAGAGCTTGGCAATCAGATTCCATTGATACGTCTTCCTCCTTGTACATATTCAAAACCTCTAACTGTTGAGAATTGCCATCACTTCTGCCTGGATGGGAGATGAAGCTGTTGATTTGCCAAAAAATGCAACTATCACTATTCCATCAGCATTCCTTAGAACTGCATCCAAACCTGAATTTCCAATACATAAAAAGCTCCCATCTACATTTATCTTGAGTTTCCCTACTTCTAGTACTTTTCAAAAAGTACATCGCTGCTTACTAAGGCTTGGATGTTGAAGAGAAGAATCTCACAATTCTGTTTGATAAATCATCACTCTCTCTCTCTCCACATCATGTAAGAAATAGCAAGGGTAACTCTAGGAAGCGGATCTGTATTCTCAACCAATGTGGTAGGTTGGTAACTAAAATCATGCTTTCCTAACGAAAAAATTCCACTTTAGTACTTGAACCTAGAGGGTACTGTCAAGTTAGTACCCAAACTTTTAAATGTGTTATTGTAGTATCCAAACTTTCAAAAAATGTCAAGTTGGTTCCAGCCATTAATTGTTCGTTGATTATTTAATCATGTGATGGCCGTTAATTGACCATTAATTATTTAATCATGTGATCGTCGTTAATTGACCGTTAATTATCTAATCACGTGATAACTTGTGTAACTTAAAATTTTCGAAAATGTTAAGATTACCCTTCAAAAGAAGACAATGTTCATTGAGATTGAACCAATTGAAGTATTTGAGATTATGGACTAATGAAGATATCATTCATTAACTTTTACCTTTAGATGGTAAGCTCACCTCTAACCAGAAGGAAATGAGGGAGGGAGAAACGACAACACCTCTAACCAGAACATGAAGGAGGGAGGGTGAAATGATGGCATCCCAGTACCTATTTGGGATCAACCCCTTTCTTGTTCTAGAAGCCGATGGTGCGTGTTAGTGAGGAACAACAGCCCATGGATGAGCATTGGTGGTCGGTGACGATGCTACAAGATCAAGGCTACCATCAACAACGACTTCGCTATGCAGGAGGCATTCGTCGATGATTACCCGGTATCCACCCAAATTTAGGAATCAATCTCCATTATAAATATAAATAAAGGGTTCGACCATGATACCGGAAAGACATAATACAAGGAAAACAATCAATATCATAAAAGGAAAGACAATCAGGCAGTATTCATTAAAATTTGGGGATTTTTATTGACCAAAACTCTTCCGGCATCAGCATCTTATATATATATATATATATTAATAGGATTGGGGTGCTCACTCCGTGCAGGAAATAGAATCTACATGTGCGATTAGATTCCTACGTAAGAGCAACCCATTTCCTATTAATTATATAAATATATAATGGTTATTATAGTTATCTAATTATATAAATATATAATAGTTATTATAAATATTGTTAATAATTAGATATCGAACCGTTCGAACGGTTTTGATCATTTTTTTTTGTTAGAATGGGCCGACTATTTGATTCGAAAGGTCAAAATGTTTGTCTTGGTAACCAGACCCCTAACTGGTTCGGTCTTCGGGTTGGTTTTAAAAGCCATGATGTTATGTCATTCGAGCGTATGATTCATATGACTCGAAAATGGAACCGTTCTGGCCACCAGTTCGAACTGACAACCCATTCTAACAACATAAATTAATAAAATAAAAAAATGGCAAAAAAACATTGAACGGGTCAACGGGTTGACTGTTCAATCACTCAGGTCAATGTGTCATTGACCGATTCAATGGTTTTTGGTCAGGGACCGGGATTGGGGTAAAACGGAACTGATTGCCTGGACGGTTCCCAATTAAAAAAAAAAAACGAACAACCCATTCTGGCAACAAAAATTACAGGCAAAAAATTGAATGTGAAGTCCATTAAGCAGTACCATACGTGTTATGTCATTCAAACATGTGACTCATACAACCTAAAAGCGGAGTCGTTCTAGCCACCAGTTTTTGGGTTGACGGTTTGACTGTTCGGTTCAAACGGATGGCCTGTTCTGATATCAAAAATTAAAAAAATGATCAAAAACCATTGAACGGGTCAATGGCTTAACCACCCGTGTCAATGGGTCATTGATCGATTCAACGATTTTTTGCCAGGGACCGATATTAGAATAAAGCGGAATCGGTTGCCTGAATGGTTCCCAATTAAAAAAATAAAAAACGGTCAAAAACTATTTTACAAATTAATTGATCGATGATTCGACTGCTTGGATCAATGAATCGTTAACCAATTCAACAATTTTTTATCAGAGACCAAATCAACAGGTCAACAATTCTATTCCAACCCCTGCGAGCTGAGAAGCATAGCCCCTCCGCTAATCAAGAAAGTATTACGAAAAGATTTTGGGCGACACGAGTCGAGATAAAGAGGGAAGAAGACAGACTGAACTAACATGCACCAAACCCTTTGAGTCCGGAATTTGTTATATTTCGTGGTTTTGTTTTTCATTCTTACGATTTCATCTTATAATATCTTCTATAATTCTCCTCGAAACAGATTAGCATAAGAATAACACTACATTTTGTATCTATATCTCTTATGGGCTTGAAAAGCTAGATTATCAAGTCATCGGCATGTATTTATCTGTTTATTTATTATTCTAAATTTAATGAGTATGAGAAAAGAAGACAAAGAAAAAAGAAATTAGAAAACAGAAGGTAGATCGGGATTGTCAATCAAATCATGCGCTCGAGGAATGCGGTTGTGTACTTGTGTTGAGATCGGAGCAGGTAGCCACCTGTTCCAGCAACACGTCCTCACAATGTGTTGTTTTTCCATCTATGTTTCTGACCTTCATCCGTTTCCGTTTACGTTTTGCCAATTATGTTCAGTGAATGATATTCTCTTCATGGTTATCAATAAAAAGTTATTTGTTCATTTTTGTATTTCAATCGTTGACGTGATATCAGATTTGGTTACTAGTTAGAGATTGGATTTCAATTATAAGAAAATTAGATGATAGGTGAAGGGAATTTTTATCTTTTTTACATGATACTTAAGTCCGTTTATGGGTTTGAACCAACTTGACACTTTTTGAAAGTTTGGATATTCATACTGCAGTGATACATTTGAAAGTTTATTGGGTTCAACTATGATATGAAAAAAATATGATATCTGAAAAACATCTCACCAATCAACTAGAATCATAAGCGTGGTAGTAAGTTAGGTGTTATTTATCAAAATTCATGGGTAAGGGTTTCAATCGGTCAAAACTCTTTCCATACCATATATTTTCTGCATCATAGAGGGAGCTCATGTGCACATTTTCTGTGTAATTAGCCATGGTGATCATGGGGAAATCTGTACCAAAACCGAATGTGGGAGCGTCTCTTTGAATGCAAACGTGGGGGTGTTCGGTTTCCATTATGGTGGGAGTAAATTACATATATGCCCTTTATATGTATAGACATGTAGGGAAAGAGCCTGCCCAATGAAAATTTGAGTAAGAGAGACTATTAAACGTGTCATGCATGGCAGTATCTCTAAGACAAAATTATTTATAATTAATGGGCAGTTTCTGAACAGTTAAAAGTGGATAGTTTATGAAGTGAGAGTAAAGAACTATCCTCTCTTATGCCCGTTGTATGTTTAGACAAGAGGGGTAGAAAATGTCCAATGAAAATTCTAGAAAAAAGAGGCATTCGCTCTTTTATAAGTAGTATAGATATAACACACACACATAAATGTTATTTATTTATAAATATATTATTTATATTGCACTTTTATAAATTTGTTATATTATTTATTTTTTATAAAAAATGTATATGTATGATGAAAACAGTTGAAAAGATAATTATATTTATTTATTTTTATTTATTTAAATTGTTATATTTTATTTTTCTTTTAATAATTTATTATTTTTTTAAATCAAATCAAATCGAATCAAATTTGAATATCCGACTTCCTCACCATAATTTAAAACTGATTCGAAAGCAAAGATATTTTCTTATCTAGATGGTGAGTCAATGATCTAACTTAAAAAAAAAATCATGACGCCATAATTGAATAATAAATATTTTAAAAAGATAGAGCACAAACAATGAAAAAGTATAGAATTTTGTTGCATTTTAGAACATTTGTAATGTTATATATTCACCATAATAAATAAAAATAATTGTTAAAATAATTTTTTTTATTTATGACAAAAAATGGATCACAAAATTTAATAATAATAATAATAGTAATAATAATAATAATAATAATAATAATAATAATAATAATAATAATAATAATAATAATTATTATTATTATTATTGTAATTTAAAATTTCCACATGCAATGCATGTGCACATTTACTACAATCATTTGAGTTTATTTCTAATCATATTGTGACTTTTGTTAAATTTCAATTTTTATCTTAACTATGATATATCTAAAATTCAAGTAATTAATATAAAAGAATTTTCTCATGTGCAATGCACATGCTTAATTACTAGTGTAAGAAAATGACAAAATGATAGGCCCGTCGGCCATTTTCCCCCACCGCCAAGGCGTCGATCGTTGCTGATGGACCTATAACTGGGTGCGCCGCTACTTGGTTTGCTATGTTTGAATGAGATGAGAGGGAGGTAAAACCCTTGCATAGGGGTATTTTAGGTATTAAAAAATACGAGGGATTGGTTTGCTCCATTCTATTGGAAGAATTATTTCTCCAAGAAGTGCTGAAAAAAAAAACAATTTCAAGTCAATTTTTTTAAGAAATGCTTATTTTAACAAAAAATACTTCTTTTCCACTTTTTTATCAAACACATAAAAACACTTAATAATCACTTCCCAACTCTTAAATAAAATATTTATTAAAATTATTTTATAAGTGAAATCAAACAGGAACTAATTCATTCCATATGGGGAGTTTTATTAGGTTTTGGGTTTTATTTATCGATAAGTTCACTCCCCTTCGAATTTTGATTCATTCCCCTACTGTTACCGTTCCCTAAAAAATACTTATTTTAAATCCTCACACCGTACTCACAACTCTTTCAACCCTGCAATTGGAATATCTCTCCATAAATAAAAATCTAAGTGCGGAGATGTTCCAAATGCACGGCTTATAAGTGTTGCGAAGAATGTGCGAGGACTGAATCGGTCTCGATTGATTCGGGCGCCAGTGCGCTACTTGCTTCTATACGCGCGCCTAGTGGTGTAAAAAAAGGGGAAAGGCCTGGTTTAGGAATAGTCGAACCAACAACATAGAGTGCTTTCAGTCTCAGGAGTTGAAACGAGACGAGCGAAGGGAAATAGGCAATATGCATTCCATTCGCAGATTTCACGCGCTAGGGCACCAAAACCCTAACCTTTGGACTAGCATCAGAAGATTATCGTCTGCAGGTTCTTCATTGGAGCAGAAGGTCGAAAGTCTTCTTGATTCCCTTTCTCTCAAATCTGGTATGCAAATTTCTCACCCTAAATTACGTTACTACTTTAGATGGATCAATTAAAAAGTGATCTTCGATTGAACTCGTTCTATTTCATTTCGATTTGTTTTGTCATTTTTTCTCGTACAGTTCATCGGCCTTTCCATTCGATCTGATAAATTTACGCAAGAATGAATTCATTTTATCTGTTCGTTTTTCATCAATTAACTTGGCCTTTGACTACATTTGTTCAGACTGTAAAGGTTGTATTGGCACGGATTTCAATGCAAATTCTATGTTTGGATTTATATTTTATAGCTCGAAATTGGATTCATTCTAATGTTTACATGCTTGTTTGGATGTGGGTGGTGAAATGTGAACGAGTAGGTGGGACATTGGTGCAGAACTGTGGGGATAGTGAAGTCGGGAGGATCGTGATTCAACTGGCAAATGAGCGTAAGCTTCGGACTATAAGCATAATCGAAGACAAGCCTGGAAATCCCGAAACCATTGAAGAGCTTAAGGCCCTTGGTGGGGATATAATTGTACCAGAAAGCTACACCAAAACCTGGTACTTTTTCAACACACTTTTTTTTTTCCCTTCATTTTGTCCTGAAACCTATGTTATTTTTACAAGTATATGGGGTCTCTGCCATTCATTTGGCATCTGGACCTGCCGTTCATAGTATATATGTAACACAGCTGAAACATCAGTATAGTTGACTGTGGGTATTGATTGGGCCATCAACACTTTTCAAATGAAGCGAAAGCTAGGATCATTGAATTGATTTGGTGCCTTTTGGCTGGGTGAACCCCTCTCCCCCCTCAAAAACTGCAAATGCTATTAGAGGCCGGTAGATTACAAAACTAATATCCTCCTATTCTCCTCAACATCCATATTTCTATCACCATACTGTAACATATAGGGAACCTATACTCTTCCAATTATCCATGCTTGTCTTTAGAAAAAAATGAAGGTTTTTTTTTCCTATTTAAATTGAAACTCTTATTCAAGTTGGAAATAGAGGTCTTTTGAACACTCAGGGAGGGAAAAGACCAACATGGTCACTTAATCTCATTGCAATACAAACCATTATCAATCATTTACCTATACTTAGCTGCTCCCTACGAATTGAACTGACAAATCTACCACTTTATTGTCATTATGGGAGGAGAAGGACAACTGAAAGAAGGAAAAAAAAAAAGAAAAGAAATGCTGGTAAGATGTGGTACACCCTCTCCTTTTGGCTTCAACTGGAATCTTGGGTTTAGAAGAGGCTTAAGGGAAAATGAATGCACTTCCTTGATAGAAGCAACTTTCCTGGATCCAAACCTTGAGGACTCTAGAATTTGGACTTGTTCCTTAGCTGGTCTCTTTACTTGTTCCTCATTTTTCAAACTTCTTGTCTCACCTAACTCTCAAGGGGTGGACTTCCCAGTGAAAGAAATTTGGTGTAAGCCTGTCCCACCAAAAGTTCAAGCTTTCTAATGGGAAAATTTCCTTGGTAAGGTAAATATTTGTGATATGTTGTAGAAAAGGAGGCCTTTTTCTTGCCTCTCTCATCATATGTGCTTCTTATATAGGGGTAGTGGAGAGACCCTCTCATATTTATTAGTCTCTTTTTCCTTTGTATTTCGGAGTTTTTCTTTTCTCTTTCTGGCCACAGGTGGGAACCCCCTAAGAGGTGGTGGACATTTTCAACCTGAACTTCTTGAGGTAACCAAAGAAAAGAGGGAAAGTATTGTGGAGAGCTACTAAGGCAGCAACTGTTTGGGTTGTGTGGGAAGAAAGGAGCAACAAAATCTTTACTGGAAAGGGCAAAGCTTTGGAGGAGGTAATAGACTGCATAAAAATGAAGGTTGCACTATGGGTTAAAGACTTTGGATTGCTTCCAGATTTTTTCAATCATCGATATACTAAGAGCTTGGACTGACGTAACACAATCTTCTAGAGTTAAAGGGAGGGAGAATAACAGTGGAGTGGAAACCCCTGGAAGGCAACAAAGTAAAATTGAACTTTGATGGGAGCTCCTTGGGTAACCCGGGTGTGGCAGACATAGGTGGTGTAATCAGAAACTCTAGGAGCATAATCTTGGCCTTATATTCGGGGCCACTTTGAATTGCTAATTCACTGAAGGCTAAATTGATGGCTTTAGTTCAAGGACAACGGTTAGCAAAGCAATTGGGCTTTAGATAGTTGGAGGTGGAAGGGGACCCAAAAGTAATTATCTCATGGGAAAGGTGTAACAGACATACCCCATGGACTCTTAAACATGTTTTCAGGGAAGCGGAAAGAATTGCGAAGGATTTAAATGCTGAATTCAAGTGGGTGAGGAGTGCAAATGTATTAGCTAATTCCTTTTTTTTTTTGATAAATGAAGGTATTTTATTAGGCATAGGAGAAGTGTATAGTCAGCCTAAAAGGAGGCACGAGATGTTACCTCGCCTTAGAGCTGAACACTGATAAAAAGCACACTCTAACTGGAAATTACAATTACGAGGTAGCCCAAAACAAGTCACCCCTTGATACCCCTTGTTTAGCCAAAGAATCAGCCATAGCATTTGCCTTTTTGCTGACCCACTGGAAGCTAACTATCATATTCCTTGTCAACCAATTAACTTTCTTCAAAAGGTCTCTATAACCCCAAAAGACTGTTTCTGGATTCGACAAACAGCCCACTACCACCTTGGAGTCCCCCTCAACTATCAAGTTCTTGACTCCCAATTAGCTAGCAACCTGTATACCTTGCACCACTGCTAATATCTCAGCCCTTATCTCCAACTCCTGTTGGTCTTGAGAACAAGGATAGAATGTTGTTGTCCTTGTCTCCCAGGGTCCCTCCCATACCCGAGGGCCCTGGATTACCTTGACTGCTTCCATCAAAATTTAGTTTAATCACTCTTTCTGGGGGAGGCTTCCATTCAGCTTGTATTCTGTTCTTTGTGGCAGTTGTGGATGCCATTGCTGCCCAATTCCTCCTTAAATCGTCGTAAGAGAAGTTCACGAACAGATCTGAAGTTTTCAACCAGAAAATTGTCCTTGTCAGTATACACTCTTTTACTTCAGCAAGACTTCTCTCCTCTTGAAAAATTCTAGCATTTCTCTCCTCTCAAATTGTCCACAAACTAGTTGCTCTTATGCACTTCCACGTTAAGTTCCCTCTTTTTGTCATTCGTCCAAAGGCAAATGGTTCAAAGAGCAGATTTACTTCAGAGGGCAAGTTCCACCTGCACCCAAATAGCGTTAAAACCCAATTCCAAATACTAGCAGCAAAAAAGCAAGATATTAGCAAATGGTGACAATCCTCACTCTTCACTTTACATAAAAAGCACCAGTTTGGGGACAAACACATATAAGGTTTCTTCTTTTGCAGAATTTCCAAAATATTAGACCTGGCAATCGGGTTGGGTGGGTCGGGTTCGAGTTGGGTCAAGGTATTTCGGGTTGATTTCGGGTCGGGTTGAATTTTGGGTTGGGTTGTCAAATGCTAGACCCTAAACCTAAATGTTCGGGTTAGGGTTGACCCATGGGTCGATTCGGGTCATCCCAAAAAATAATTGAAATTTAAAAAAATAAAGAAATATACATGAAAAATGTCAAAATTAAAAGAATTAACCTTAAAATTCCAAATATAAAATAAAAAACTTGAACGTTTAACAATTTAAAGAGTAAACAATAAAAAGTAAAGACTAAATAGAAAAAATTAAAGAGTGGAAACTTCTAACAATGCAAAAATAATCCCAATTAGACTTGACAATCGGGTCAACGGGTTGACCCAACCCAACCTAGCCCATTTTTTTTCGGGTTGGGTTGGGTCGGGTCATTTTCACATTCAGGTAGCTAAATATGAGACCCTAACCTTGTTTTTTAGGGTTGGATTGGGTCGGGTTCACGGGTTGGGTCAACTTTTTGCCAGGTCTACAAAATATTGATCTTACCATAGTAGACTTCCTAATAAAACGTAGCTATTTTAGGAGGAATTGGCCTTGACGATATCTCTTTAACAGGGAAAACCCGAGAGGAGGGAGAGGAACAAAGGGATTTAAAGAAAGAGGCACAAGTGAAACAACCACTCGGGGTCAATGTCCAAATCCTTTTATTAGGTTTAGGAGGGTCCAAACACACAAACTCTAGAAGAAGCAAGAGCTCTAAAACACAAACGGACTCATCATCCATTAGGCCTCTATGAAACCCAAAATCCCAGTTTAAGGCCAAAGGGAGAATAGGAAGGGGGGGGGGGGGAATCTTGAGATAGATTTCTTTTTAAGGAGGGAGATGGAATAAAGAGATGGGAAACGATCTTTTAGAGGCTGGGTGCCCACCCAAATGTCTTTCCAAAAGAGGACAAAATTTCTAGAGCAAACGTCATACCTTACAAACATGAGGAATTTGGGAAGAGTGCCAGAGATTGCCTTTTAGGGCGATGTAAGTAAAGCCCTTCGAGATACCCCAACATCCCAACCAATGTTTTAAAAGCGCAAGGTGCAAGGCGAGGCACACACCTTTTTGAAGAAAGGCAGAAAAATACAAAAAAAGGCTAAAAAATAAAAAAATGCCAAAAAATGTTAAACATAATGTTAATTAAAAAAATATAAACTTAAATTTTAAAATACATGTTTTAAAAAACCTATTATCTAAAGTTAAAATACATAAACATAACATGTAAAGCATATTCAAATGAAAACTTAAAAATAAAATTAAACATATAAAGCATTTTCAAGCATGTAAAACCCACAATCTCTTTTTTTCCTCAATTGCATTACTTCAAGTAGCTAATGTGATGTAAAACCCACATGTTGCCTTAGTACCACGCCCCTTGAGGCAAACCCGGACAAGTCCATGTTAAGGTCTTAAATTCTTATTTCTCACATAAAAAATAATGATTTTATAACTTTAATTGCCTTTCAAGAAGATATTTTATTGGAATGAATGAATGAACAACATAAGCAAATAGGGGGTTCTTGGAGCTTCGACGCCTGGGTTGAGGTGCAAGGCACATCAAGCGCATGCCTAGGCGCATCAGATGTGTGCCTTTTGAAAGGGGTGTGCCTAGGGGTGGCAACGAGCCGAGCTTTTCACGACCTGCTTGAGCTCGGCTCGATTCAGTTTCAACCGAGCTCGAGCCCAATTCACTGGCTGGATTATTAAACGAGTCGAGCTTGAGCCTACTAGAGCTCGGCTCATGAGGCTCGCGAGCCTGTTATATATATATTTGATATTTAATACATATATATAATAAAATTATAGAAAATAATATATATAATAAAAATATTATAATTATTAATTTTTTAAATATCAAATAAAAAATATTTTTATATATCATTTTTTATTTTTATAAAATATTTTTTTCTCAAGATCGAGCTCGAGTCGAGCCGAGATCGAGCTTATGAATTTTTGACTCGAGCCGAGCTCGAGCTCAAGGTTTTGGCTCGAACCGAGCTCAAGCTCAAGGTTCTGGCTTGAACTGAGCTCAAGCTCGAGCCTTGTAGAACAGTCTCGAGCCGAGCTCGAGCCTGGTAGTATTTGGCTTGGCTCAGCTCGAATCCACCCCTAGGTGTGCCTAGGACCTG